TTGCCTGAGGGTACTCAGTGGCTACTCCTGACTCACTGCTCAGACTGCTCCTGGCTCAGTGCTCCTGGGTACCAGCACGTGCTACAGCTGGTTGAGCTGTCTCCCACCCCACCCTCATGCTTAAGCCTCTTTCACTCTAGAGGTTTATTCCACCTTGCCTCCGTTCCATCTCTAACAACCAGGCGCGAACAGAGGACGAGCCTGGAGCTCTGGAGCCCTAACCAGCCTAACATCCATCTACACTGACATCACTTGGATCGTTTTCTGTATTTTTATCTATTTATTTTTGCTATACTGGGAGTTGAACCTAGGGTCTCACATGGCAGCCAGGCATTCCACTGCTAAGCTACACCCCCAGCTCATGTAATTTTGGTTTTACTTTTCTTGGGCTGGAGAGACAGTATAGGGGTTTAATTATATACCTGGCACGTGGCCGAGCCTCAACTTCAGCCCTGGTACCACATGGTCCCCTGAGCACAGAGTCAGGAGTGCTCCCAGAACCACGGGATGTGGCCCAAGCCCTTCCCCCACCTGCTCCCCAGAGGTGCTTCTCTAGCATGAGGCTGACCCTGATACAGTGCCCAGCACCCATGGGCCCCCCAAGCATAGAGCTGGGAGTGGCCCCCAGCACCACTGGGTATAGCCAAGAAAGAGCCAAGAAATACATAAAGAAAGTAAAGCCCCTCCCCCACTAGATTATAAAACTCCTTGAAGGCAGATATATCTTGGCGTTTTCTAAATATCGGGTAGGATTCTTTGCCCATAGCCAGGTGGGCAAAGAATGGCTTGAATGGCTTGAATGATGGATTACACTTGGACATAGATTGGAAGAGACCTCGATTGGGGGAGTCGGGGTCTCTTACTGGATGACTTTTGTGAGTGAATACTCCGGGGGCTGAGAACCATCTGTGACCCTCTGGGAGTGACTGATAGGCAGGATGAACACGAACAGGGTGGTCAACGGCGGGGCAGCTGAGTGGGGTGAGGGTCTGGAGAGAAGGCAGGAGGCGGCCGTGCCTGCAATCCCCTTCTCGTGCAGGGGGCATGGGGACTTTCCTCCCGCCAGGCTTGGAATGTTAAACTTGCCCAGTTTCCTCCTTGGCAGAGGACACATGGAGAAGATCTTGAAGGAGCTCATCAGAACTCAAGGCATTGCTGACCTGGGAAACGCCCAGGTTGCCTTATCTCTTCTGTGCATGGAGTTTGAACTGTGGGGCATGATAAGAGATCTTTTCACTTGCTGCACTCCGAAGCTGAGTGCCTGTGTGCATTTTTTATAGCCAATTCACATCTGTAGGTCAACTCACAGATTCTGCTATTTTGTGCATTTGTTATTATCTTCCTCTGTTGCTTTATCTCCAGGCTGAGTGTGGATGCTTTTAGGCAGTTTCTTGTGTCACACTAAAACAGTTTACAAACACAGCGATGTTTGTAAGTTGCTCAGACAAAGCCAAGCTTTTCATGAATGTAAAAGTGGTGACAACTTTTGGCTTCTGTTTCTTACTGAATTTCAATTCTTGGGGATTATTTGGTGTTGAACTTTCTCCCTAGCTGATTTCTCAACTGCAGGTTAATATAATCAGTAATACCCAAAATAACAATTTTTAAAAATTTTTATTAGGGTCATTCGTGGTGGTCCTCAGACCAGTTAGTTCTAAGGATCAAATCTGGGCCTTTTGCCCACAAATTATGTGCTCTAACCCTTTGAGCTCTCTCCTCAGCCCCAAGTGAATAGGTTTATTTACTATAGAGATAAGAGTCTAAAGAACTATTGTGTGTTTTCAGAAGGTCCCGCTGCTCTCATTCGGTGGTCTCCCGTCACTTCCCCCACCCAGGAGAGGTCAATGGCTATGGGCAGGTGAAGGAACGAACGAGGGTCAGGCTGGTCGGTATCAATTGTAGTTTATTCCAATCTTCACTCTCACCTCTGACTCTGCCCTCTGGAGCCCGAGCTCCCGAGCCCCAGCCCGTGCCTTAGCCTGAGCCTCAGTTTCTGCTCTCTCGAGCCCAAGTCCGAGCCCAAGCTTGAGCCTGAGTCTGAGCCTCAGCCTCAACCTTCTCCTCAGCCTGAGCCTTCTCTCTCCGCTCTCTCAAGCCCCAAGCCCCCTTCGAGTTTACAGTCTTAGTTTACATAGCAATCACGTAGGGTGGTTACACAAAGGTGGGTTGAACATTAACAAATCAGCAAAGAGAGGTAAGACCACTTGAGATTAACTCAAGGATTAAATCTCATCTAAAGAGATTATTCCAGATTACTAGGAGATCTGCTCAAGGGTGGGATCCCAATAAGGGTGTGTTCTTTCCTCTGCTAGTAATCTACTTAAATAGTAAATCTACTTCTAATATTTCTAGCAATGTCATTCTGTATGAGCACAGTAAGAGATAAATTTACAGTTTGGTTCTTCCTGAGGACATCTCACTATATATTCCGAGATATATATTCCTTGGGCTGGAGCGATAGCATAGCAGTTAGGGCATTTGCCTTACAAGCGGCCAACATGGCCGACCCGAGTTCCATTCCTCCGCCCCTCTCGGAGAGCCCGGCAAGCTACCGAGAGTATTCGATATGCCAGACACAGTAACAACAAAGTCTCCAATGGAGACGTTACTGGGCCCGCTCGAGCAAATCGACGATCAATGGGAGGGCCTTTACCTTTACCTATATATTCCTCAGGCCAGATTAGTCTTCCTAGCCCCAAAAGGGTCCTAGTTGTTACTTACTTTTGATCATGCCCTCAACTTATAGTTGAGTATCATGGTGCTTTGGCCTGATCCATTTTGATGCCAGGGTAGCTCACAGCTTGCCCTGGGTCCATTCAGTCTCTCGTCGGGACCCTGCTTTTGAGGTGTGGGAACTAAGGACAACTGAGTCAAGAAAGCAGATGCCCAGGAGTAAATATTATTCAGAGTCAATCAACTTCCAAGTTACAAAGCATAATATTAACTGACTTCCTGTGTACACACAGAAAGGACATTGCTTTAAGGTAAACTATGCAAAAGACATAACTGACAATACAAGTTCAGTGTCCTTAGAAGGATCTGATCTTACAAGTTAACAGAATCTAATTTGGGGGAAAAGGTGATTAACTGGCTGGGGAGGAGAGCACAGAGAAGAGTTTGCAGATAAACAGAGGAATGGGAGTGACTAGGGAGCACTGTGATGGGTGTAAGCTAAGCTCCCCATGGCAGTGTTATTCTACAAAGTATTACTTATTGGTTTGAAGCTAGAAAAGAGCTACCTTGAATTGAGTACACCAACTATATTTTATTTTAAAATTAAGATTATTGGGACAGGAGCAATAGGTACAAGGGGTAGGGTATTCGACTTGCATGTGCCCAACCTGGGTTTCATCCCTGGCACCCCATAGGGTCCCCTGAGTACCACCAGGAGTAATTCCTCAGTGCAGAGCTAGGAGTTACCCCTGGGCATTGCTGGGTATAGCCCCCAAACAATAAAATAAAGATTATTAGTTTAGATAACATGGTTGCAATAGTGTTAATTTGTTATTATTTTGGATTTGGGGCCACACCAGGCGGTGCTCAAGGGCTACCAGGATCACTCCTGGCTGTGGTGCTCAGGGGACCATTTGTAGCGCTGGGATTTAAACCAGGGTTGCAGCAATCACAGCTATATGCTAGGCAAGCACTTTAAGCTTTGTACTATCTCTCTCTGGCATTGATATACAAAGTTGCTATGGTTCCCACCCCCCACCAAATCGCCCAATCCCATTTCTACCCCCACTGCTCAGTAATCTCAGTTTTGTGATCCAAAACCAAGGGTTTGTCATTGTTCTATACTAGTTCCTTCTTAATGTTTTTCTATATTCCATAGATGTATGAAGTCATCTGGTATTTGTTCTTCTCCTTTGAATTCAGTTTCACTTAGTATGATGTCCTCCACTTCCATCTGCATTGCGGCATACGATTCAAATTTTTTTTTGTTGTTGTTGTTTTTTGGTCACACCTGGCGATGCAAGGGGTTACTCCTGGCTCTGCACTCAGGAGTTACTCCTGGCGGTGCTCAGGGGACCATATGGGTTGCTGGGAATTGAACCCGGGTTGGCCGCGTGCAAGGCAAACGCCCTACCCACTGTGCTATCTCTCCAGCCCCTACGATTTAAATTTTTTTTATTGGGGCCCGAGGGATAGCACAGTGAGTAGAGCGGTATTCTATACAGTGCCCCGAGAACCGCCAGGAGTAATTCCTGAGTGCAGAGCTAAGAGTAATCCCTGAGCATCGTCGGGTGTGACCTCCCAAAAAGCTCCCCCAAAATAAAATAAAATAAAAAAGTAAATTTTTTATTGTTATCACAGTGATTTACAATGCTGCTAATGAACTGCAGGATTTCATGACTACAGTGTTCAGCACCATACCCTCCACCAGAGTGTCCCTTCCCTCCACCACTCTCAGGGGCCTCTCACCCCTATTTCCCCATCACGGTAGGCTCAGTTCTACAGATCAAGTTACAGATTCTGTTGCTTTGCATCAGTCATTCATCTCTTACTTGTGCTTCTCTATATCCCACATATGAGAAGGGTCGTTCAGTATGTCCCTCTCCTTCTGGCTAGCTTCACTCAGCATGATTCCCCTATAATTGTTTTCCATACATATTGATGTTGAATGTGGTGAGGAATAATGTGTCAGGGTTGAGTGCCAATCAAAGCAAGATCTCTTGAGGAAGGAAACAGTTCCTGTTTGGGCTTTATTAGTTTTTTGTTTGTTTGGGAGCCATACCCAGTGGTGCTCAGGACTTCCTCCTGCCTCTGTGTTCAGGGATCACTCCCATTGAGGCATGGAAGACCACATTGGGGTGCCAGGGATTGAATTTGGGATGGCTGCTTTCAAGCGAAGTAGTGCTATCTGTCTGACCCATCCCCATTTGAGTTTGAAAAAAGGACCAAAACTGGGGACTTGGGCATCTCTTCCTCTCGGGATTCGTTAATGTTGTACTGACAGTCCCTGGCCGTTAACTGTCATCCATTGTCTCCATCCTCTGTAGCTTGGAATTGCGATTGGGTTTTTGGTCCCTCCTATTCTGGTGCCCAATATCGATGACCAAGAACAACTTGCCTACCACATCAGCATCATGTTCTACATAATAGGAGGTGTGGCCACTCTGCTTTTCATCCTTGTCATCATCGGTAAGGCCATTCCTAGATGATCGGGGTTGGGGGGAGGCGAGATAGGAGCAGGGAGACTGAGAGGTGGACTACGTTTCACCTGGGTGGAACACTGACAGTGTGTTCCTGGGACGTATGGAAATGGGGTATCTCATGGCCTGAGTCGTGAGTGACCCCAGTACAGCCCTTGATGGTTCTGTGTACTTTGTGGTTTAGTAAAGGGTTTGTTGTGATCCACCAGTTTCCCAGGCAGTCTTATCAGAATCAATGCAGAGATGGCTTTGGTGAAAGCCCTCAAGGGCTAATGCAGGGTCTGTGAACAGCATGCCTGGTCTCATTTAATCCTCAACAACACCAAGGGAAGATACTATTATCCATGTATTTCATGATCAGTGTATTTCATCTAACATAGCAGAAGAGGAGACTTGAGGAGAGTTAAAGCAACCGAATAATATTTAAGCCCAGAGAGCTTCTGTCAGGGGCAAGGCATCTACTTGCCTTGCATGCAGCCATGCCAACTGCAATCCTGGTTTGAATGCCTGGTACCACATATAATCCTCTGAGTACTGCCAGGGGTCCCTTTTGAGCACAGAGCCAGGAGTAACTTCTGTCCAAACCTCTCCCCACCCCAAATAAAATATTTTTCAAAATAAAAGATTAAATAGTAAGTGGCAAAGATTGTAGTCTAACCTACGCTTGTCTAACTATAAATTTTTGAGATGAGACTAAATAAAACTGACCCACAAATCCTAAAATCTGATTGATTCACCCGAGAATACCTGGGGCGCTTGTTCCTGATGAGCATGTTTTAAAAGTTTTATATATATATATATATGCTCATAATGGAAAACCCAAGAACATACCAAAGAAGTATAAAGAATGACCATTAATTTAGCCTCATACCAGTCAATCCCAAACACCAACTTCTGATACTTGCAATAAATGTTTTATACGCATGCACATTTAGTCATTGAGCTCTTTGGCTAGTATAATCTTGTAATTTCTTTTTAATCATCTGAATGATGTTACATGGGCTGTGAGTAATTCAGAAACAGCCAAGTAGAGGATTACATACAGAGTTTGTCACCTGTCTAAAGGTTAAGCAGCTTTCTGCCTAAGACGTGAATGTTCCACCTTTTGTCTTAAAGGTTTGTTCCTGCCTGCTGGCCTCCCCTCCCAAGCCAAGCCAAACAGTTTTTTTTTCTTTCTTTTTTTTGCTTTTTGGGTCACACCCAGCAATGCTCCCTGGCTCTGCACTCAGGAATTACTCCTGGGGTGCTTGGTGCTTGGGGGACCATATGGGATGCCAGGGATTGAACTAAGATCAACTGCATGCAAGGCAAATGCCTTACCCGCTGTGCTATTGTTCTGTCCCGCAAAGCCAAACAGTTTTATAACTGGGCCTCATGGGGCCTCATTCCTCTGCGCTCTTCTGGGCTCCATGCTGAGAAAGGGCTGCTGGAGAGTTTCTAAAAGCTGGCAGGACCCCTGGACAGGTGCTCGGTGTTTTTGGAAGATAAGAAGGTGGGCCCCTCTGAAGGATGAGGAACAGTCCTTTCAGGAGTTCTCTTGCTTACTCAGCCAGATTTCAGAGTTTTACACTGTATTGCCCCCAGCCTCAAATTCTTGTTTGTAACAGAGGGGGGTCTGGTTCTCTGTGGTTGAAATTTTGGCGGTGTAAGAGGTTGGCAGTCTGTTATCAAGTACAGACAATAGAGAAAGAAGTAAAGAGATGAGCAGGCTTATCTGCATTCTGGTTTGTGGACCTGGCAGCCGGTGATAGGAACGTCCTTTTTGAGAGGAATGCCCGGCTCTCCTTTCCCTGGTGGAAGGGGAAGGGAACGGGAACGCAAAAACAATGGGTGAGAGATTCCCAACTCCGGGAATCTGGGACGTCACCCAGGACTATTTCCTGAGAAGGAAGAATCAGAGCTCTGGAGGAGAGGCTGGAGGGTTTTCTGGGTAAGAGGCCTCCTTTGATCTGCCTAGAGAGCCAAGCTTCCTTCGAGAACTTCCTCTGAAGGGAGACAATCTCCTTAGCTTTTAGGAGCACCCTCCTGGGGTGGTGGAGAGGCCTCGATGGTGTTTGCTTGGAACTCCCCGGGGGACACACAGCTGGTCAAACAGCTAGTTAAACTGACCTACCCCCACCCCCCATTTCCCAGACATGCCTCAGACACCTGGATGGCAGTCAAGGTGGCTCGGTGCTCACAGCATGAACTGTGCCACTCTGGGCTTGGTGCAGTGCCCACACCAGCTCACGTTGGTCTCCTTGTCTCAGGCAGACAAGATGTTCGATCTTTCAGACTTTGAGACACTAGGAATGGGTTCTAAGTTTCTCCAATAGAAGGCACTCCCTTGAACTTAATCAGGTAATTGCCATTGACTACCATATGCTTGATTCCGGGCTATGCAACCTGACCCTCCCCCTCAGGAGATGCTAATGGAGCTCAGGAATCCTGGATCTTTGCTTCTTACTTCCATTCTGCCTTTGGGTGACAAATACATCCCCATCCCCACCCCTGCTCCTCATGCTCGGGGACTGTTCCTTGCTGATTATTGTGGGGTTCCTTGGTGCTTAAATATTGGCTGGGGAGTGGGGGAGAGACAGTGATTGCAACCTTCAGAGGTAACTGGGGAAAAAATAACCAGAGGCAGAAGGGAGCCTACAGCAGAGAAGGTGCTTGCCTTGCATGTGGCCAATCCAAGTTCCATTCCCAGCATCCCATATGGTCGTCAGCACTGTTTGGAGTGGTCCCTGAGCACAGAAATTGGAGTAAACCCTGAGCATCACTAGGTATGGCCCCTTCAAAACAAAATGATAAACACACACAAAAAAGAGAGGGGGAATAAAAGAAAAAAAATAATCAAAGAATCACTCACTTGGTTACAGACGATGAGAAGTGGCTTTAAGAGACACTGTCAAGGACTTAATTGAATTAAGATTTCCTTTTGGAATATTAGCTTCCTTTCCAGTGATGGAGCCAGCTCTGATCACGTGTCCGCTGTGGGGAGGCTGGCTGTGGGCATGTTCTGTGATGTCTATTTCTGTCCTTTCAGTGTTCAAGGAGAAGCCGAAGCATCCCCCCAGCAGGGCGCAGTCCATGAGCTATGCGTTGGCCTCCCCCGATGATTCGTACCTAAGTGCCATCGTCCGACTCTTCAAAAACCTCAACTTTGTGCTGCTTGTCATCACCTACGGTAAAAAGTGTCCTTGAACTGGGGGGTTGTGAGACTAGGGTCCAGATCCGTCAATTTCCTAAACTCAAAAGTTCATGTGACGTTGTGTAGAGTCAAAAACCCAGAAGTGCTCTTTGACTTTGTAAGTTCTGGAGAGTTCACCCAGAAACTCTTCATTTCTCATGTCAAGTCTTTCGGGAATTGCCTGCTGATCTCCCAAGCCTCATATCAGTAACACAGCTGTAAAATAACATGGTTGACCTTTCCTTGCTTTCTGTGCTGTTCCTAAGCATCTTGATTTTTACAAAAACAAACCCCCAAACCATTTCCTGGGTCATGCATCAGCTCTGCAGAAGAGCACTGTATGAGTGGGGTCCTTGATTTATCCTTGGACATCACACCAAACACACACACACACACACACACACACACACACACACACACACACACCTTTCATCCTGTCTTCCCACAAGACTGCTGAATATCCCAAGAGTGGGGCTTTATGTCTTTTCTTCTTCATAGTGCTTCAGAAGGGGTTAGCTCATGTTGCCAGAGCAATAGTACAGTGGGTAGGACACTTGCCTTGCATGCGGCCAACCTGGGTTGGATGCCTGGCATCCCATATAGTCTCTTGGGCACCACCAAGAGTAATTCCTGAGTGCAGAGCAAGGAGTAAGCCCTGAGCATTGCTGGGTGTAGCCCCCAAACCAAACACACATATACACACACACACACACATACACAAACACACGCACAAACAGTGGTCAGCTCCATACTCCAACAGTTATTGAATAAGAGAGTAGACAATTGAAAGCATAATATATACATGCTTGAGTTTTACTGCATGAACCAACCCTCAACCAACCCTCCTTCATCATGTTGCACTGACTCTTTTTAAACTCAAATGCAAGACAGCATTCCCTTTTCATTTAATTTTCTTGATTTTCAGTAAAATAAACTTTACTCTTTATGTTGATAGGTTGACTGCCTCTCCAGTGTTTACTAAAATTATTAGAGCAGACAATGGCAAGGACAGAGCTTTGATACCATGAAAGTGTCTTTTATGTATTTGCCCATATTATACTAATATCCAGCCTGTATTTGACCATGAGTCTGGTTCAACTTACAAGTCTACAACTGTGGAACAATCACGTTCAGTAATTGTATTTAAAAAAAAAAAGAGAAGAGATTGGTTTGTCATGAGTTATATTTAGTGAAAACCCTGTTGGCTGTAATCTTATGGTTTCTATAGGCTCACAAGCAATAAATAATGTTTATGTTGTGCCAAGACTTTCCATATCAGATTTGATTTCATCCCTACCACATGTATATGAATATAAATAAGTCCTATCTCATGTAACAGATGAGGAAATAAATTCAGAGAGATTACAGTTTTCTGTGCCCAGGAATTAATCCTGACAGTTGTCAGGGGACCACACGGGATGCCAGGGATTGAACCTGTGTCATCCATGTGCAAGACAAATGCTCCCCCCACTGTACTATGGCTCCAACCCCCAAGATCACATACTTTGAGCAGCAGAGCCAGAATTCAGATGCAGGCTTGTCTCCAAGGGCTGCACTATTCGAGCCTGTTCCATAGTTGCCCTTATTCCTTTTTTTTTTAAAATAAATTTATTTATTGAATCATTGTGAGAGCAGTTACAAAGCTGTTGGGTTTAAGTCTCAGTCATACAATGATGAAACTCCTGTCCCTTCACCAGTGCACATTTTCTACCATCAAAACCCCCAGTATATCCCCCCACCCCACACCCTCCCGCTTATCTGTGTGGCAGATGGTTTCCATATTACTCTCTCTCTACTTTGATTACGTTCAATATTTTGACACCAGACCTACCATTATTATTTGGGATTTTACCCCAACACTCACATCTGCCAATTAGACCATTTGTTTTCTATTGCTGATAATGAATAGCATATGAGATCGTGAGACCGTGGTAGCGGCCAAATGATTTTGGAATTCTGAAGTCTTAATAATTAAATCTGGAGGGATTTCTGCCAAAAACTGCTGGGTTCCGAGATTTGTTCTGAGTCTCTGGGATCACGGCTGAAGCAGCTTGTTGAGTAGCCAGAGGGCCCGTTCATGGGTGGAGACTGCTATTCCTTCTTGAATTGTGCCAGGGTTTTGTTATGGGCTTATCAGTGTCTTTAATCTCCAGCAGAATGATTGCCCACTGAGGCAGTGATAAGAGATGGCATCATCACAGGCATAGGCGTCCAAGCCAGATGCCTCTCTGGAGCTTTTTAAGATGACCTTTAAGTCTTTAAGGTCATGTCCTTATTTCTTACTGTCCTCAGTTTCTCCGTTGCACATAAATCTCTAATTCACCTACAACGTAAAGAACGAACTTTCTAATAGTTTACATGTCCAAATGAAGCAGATGGTGAGTTACCTGTCTCTGGGAGGTGGTCACCAGTCTTGGGGTCCACTGTCCCTGGCGGGAATTGTGGGTGAATGTCAAGCTGTAGGTGAGCAGTCTTCTGCTTCCTCCTCAAGTTCAGTCTCTTTAATACATTGACTTTCATCCGCCATAAATATCTGACAATAGAGTATTTTGGGATTTTAGGGCAGATGCATGCTTAATGAGCTTTTCTAGGGTGATAATTATGGGGCCACAGGGCCACAGTCTCTTGCCAGAGTCTGGCTTTGAGTGTTTGAAGAGTGTTGGTGGTGGGGGTCAGGTTACCATGTCATAAAAGCAAAAAACAAAACTCCAAAGTACCAGGAACAGTGCTGTGGCTCTTCCTTGAGTGTCTCAACTCTAGGTCCAAGAAACTCCTCGTTCTGGTTTGGCTTCTTTTGGGGCTCCACTTGGTGATGCTCAGGGTTACTCCTGGTTGGTGCCTAAAGGGAGCTGTCCCTCCTGGGAGTGCTCAGGGATCATGTCCATGTGGTGTTGAGTGAACCTGAACCTTCTGCATGCAAAGCCACCCTAGCCCTTTGAGCTCTCTCCCTCGCTGCTCTCCTTCCCTCTTGCAAGGATGGTTGCTTCTATGTGCATAATCTAGCTGAGTGATTCCAATTCTGTCCTTCTGCTCACTCTTATCTATTTGGTTAAATGATAACGCAGGAAATAAGCAGAGATGCATTTCTGGAATGGTAAATTGAGGACCTTAGCTAATCTGTTCTCCCATAAAGCAATTAGAACACTGGTAAAGTTGTCAAAAGCAGACCCTGGCCTGACTTGGCACTTTAGTAATAAAAACCATATTTCCAGCACATTCGTTGAAAACTCTCAGTGACACTCTTGAACGTACTAATTCAAGACAAACAATATCCTGCTGGAAAATATCAAAATGGCTAGAGAAATAGTTGCAGAGCCTTAGCCAGGACTGATTCCTTACTGCAGAGTAACTCCTGAGCTAGGTGTGACCCCCAAACAAAAACACCACCAAAAAAAAAAAAACAGCAATAGTAAGAAGTGCCAGGGAGAGCTGGGCCAACCCAGGTGAGAATAGGTTTCGTGCCTTGGCCTGTTCCCCCTGGCGGCCCAGTGGCTGCCATCCTCCAGAGGCCACTGGACAGTCAGGTTTGGGCCCATAGTGACGAGACACGCGGGGCCTCATGGGATGGGGATGGAGCCAGCCCTTTCCTCCCTGTCCCAACAAGACCCCGAGTCACCGCTCATGAATAGCCTCTCTGGCTCCTGATCAAGCTGCTTAATGGCCATGATCCCAGAGACTCAGAAACAAATCTTGGAACCCAGCAGGTTTTGGCAGAAATGCGTCTGGACTCTGCAGTAGGTTACTTTGCCGGGCCACCCCAGGGAGGAAAGGGTGCTGTCCCTCTGCCTGCTCCCCCTTGGCGGTTCGGTGGCTGCCATCCTCCAGAGGCCATTGGACAGTCAGGCTTGGGCCCTCAGTAACAAGACACGTAGGGCCTCACAGCAGCCGTCCCTTTCCTCCACATCCCAACAAGACCCTGAGTCACCACCCACGAATGGCCTCTCTGGCTCCTGATCAAGCTGCTTAACGACCATGATCCCAGAGACTTAGGAACAAATCTCGAAACCCAGCAGGTTTTGGCAGAAATCCCTCCAAATTTCATTGTTAAAATTTCGGAATTTCAAAATTGCGCGGCCACTACTGCAGCCACACGACATCATATGTTATTCATAACCAGCAATAGAAAGCAAATTGTCTACTGTTGCCTTTTCAACAGATCTGAGTGTTGGGGTAAAATCCTAAATAGTAATGGTGGGTCTGGTGTCAAAATATTGAATGTAATCAAAGTAGAGAGAGAGCAATGTGGAAATCATCTGCCCCACAGGTAGAGGGAGAGCATGCAAGGGGGGTATACTGGGTTTTTTGGGGATGGAGAATGGGCACTGGTGAAGATACAGGTGTTTCATTGTATGACCAAGACTTAAACCCGAAAGCTTTGTAACTGCTCTCACGGTGATTCATTAAATAAAATTATAAAAAAGGAAAAAAAAAAGTGAGGTGGACTTCATCTCAATCAGCGTAATTGGTGGCTGAATAAATAGCAGTACTCCTACATAAAAAAAAAAAAAAGAAGTGCCAGGGAGAAAGAAAGATCTTATTTTCATCATTGGCATTGTATTTAAAATATCCATTAAAAAAAGTTTTTTTGGGAGGCCATACCTGGCCATTTTCAGGGCTTACTCCTGGCTCTGTGCTCAGGGATCACTCCTAGCAAGGCTGGGAACTATATGGGATACCTGGGATTAAACCCACGTTGGCCACATGCAAGCCAAATGCCCTACCTCCTATACTATCGCTGTAGTCAAAAAAAAGTTTCATTTTTTTTCCTTGGCTTTTTGAATCACACCTGGCAATGCACAGGGGTTACTCCTGGCTCTGTACTGAGGAATTACCTCTGGTGGTGCTCAGGGAACCATATGGGATGCTGGAAATCGAACCCGGGTTGGCCATGTGCAAGGTAAACACCCTACCTGCTGTGCTATTGCTCCAACCCCCAAGAGGTCCATTTCTTAACCAAAAATTATGATACAATAGACAGGAAAGCACAGTTCACCTGT